TAATCGACAGTTCATAATTCTATTCCATCATATATACGAAATATCGAGCTCTTTTGTTTATATTTCCCTTAATGATCCCAAAAGTATGCTTCTAAAATTTGTAAGTTTATTTGCCTAATAGACTTTAGAGTACTTCCGTATAATCAATGGATCTATTGACATTACCTACATAATTTTATGGATGCGTTTCTGCTGACAAGTATTAAAAAAAAAAAAAGAATTGTTCGCCCATTGATTATGCCTTTGTGCAGTTTGTCGGAACCGCCTTGGCTGATCGGAGTGTCTCATATCTTTTTTATGCATTTATGGCCTCCGGCTATATTTAGTTATCGCAGAGGCTACAATAAAAAATCAACTAATTGCCATGTGTACATCGTTTATCCTTGATCTTCAATGGTTCATTAACTCCAATGGCGACGATAGCAACGATCAGCAAAACAAAACAACCCAACCAGCCCAGCCCAGCCCAGACCAGCCAGCAATCCAGCTGGATGGCAACAACAATGCTACAGAGCGTATTTAATACAATTAACTCGGTACGTTTATAAGATTAACCTCGGCGCAGAGAGGCGCAGACCCGGGCCCAAGATCATGCTGAGCCTGCGCGGCGCAGATTAACAATCAATTAAAATTGACAACTGTGCCGGGGTGAAGCAGCAACAAGTGCACCTCCTCTGTCCAGTTCGGTACGAGCAGTTTGCCTGGCATGCGGGCAGGCATCATTTAGTGCAATCATAGGGAGGTTGAGAAAAATAAAGGAAACTAATTATAAAGGCTGCATAAAAGGCGCCATTTAGCCCCGACGACACGCAATAATTACGCCCAATTAATAGCAATAACTTTGCAAATTAGATAATTTGGGTCCAGCTCAGAGCCCCAACTGCGACAACGGCCCCAGCTGCATTAAAGGTAATTCAATGCACGCTCGCACCGCACTCTAGCATCTGCATTCTTTAGTCGGCAACTGCAACAGAGCGTTGCACGCGAATCAAAAGCCAAATGTGTGTAATCAGCCGGCGTCGCAGTTGTCGCTCCCTGGACGTGCCACTAGCTGCCCTGGACAGCCAATGCTAATGCCAGGTCTAACTAAACCGCTCCCCGCCGAGATTGTGCCACAGGAACTGGTTCCTGGTTCTGGCTACCAGAACATTTGTGCAAACAATAGATCTGAATCAATTGCTGACAGCTGCCAATGTGCGCTAAAGTGTAACTATTAGATGCTTTATAAATTATAATTATGTGATTATCGGATTCTAATAATGCAAATAAAGTAAAGTTTCTAATAAAGGGGCGAGGACGATGCATAGTTCAAGAATTTATTTTTTTTGTTGGCACAATAGTCTTAGCGAAACATGTTTGAGTAGTTTCTTTTTGTAACTTTTTAAGAAATGGCGTTATTCAGATAAAATTTACTATTCTATATAAATTTATATAAAATAATATAATTATATATGCCAATGTAGAAGAAACAACATTAGTATTTGAATTTATTTTGATTGAATAAATAACACATATTTTTTTCTGCTTCTAAGCGCGTATAATAAAAACCAGTATAATACTAAGTATTTATTTAATGAATTTTAACAGTTTAATTTAATTGATTGCAAAAGAGGCTGCTTTATTTACTTTTACTTTTCTAAAAATCGCGTTAATCGGGTTAGATTTGCGCATGTTCTTTAATTTTCTACCTGAATATATTTAAGGGGAAAATATTTAAATAATTAACAAAATTTTGGATGAAAAAACAATAAAATATATGTTGAATATTTTAAATATTTCAATTCTGCAAGAAATTTTGTAATTTGGAATAATATTGTGTAATATAACCATTTTATAGTTTTTAGCTATCTAATTTATATATTTATCAGCCTCTAATGATGTTTATTCATTAATATTTTAATTTATTTATTGACAGAAAATTAAGAACATTTTATTTGTTTTTACACGCGTAATTCGGTTCGCGTTTGCACATAACCTATTGGCTTTGACTTATATTTTACATAGTTGTCTTCAGGCAGACAGATGGCAGCGGCTCATAGTTAACCACTTGACTAACCATAACCCCTGCTGGCTGCAACTCCACTTCTGAACCCAGGTAATTTATCAAGAAGAACACGCCATCCCGGCAAGCAAGCATTGCCAGCCAACCAGTCGCTCGTCCAGTCAGCTCTAGAAGAAGATGCAACAGCGTCTGACTGCTCGTGTACCACAGAAAACGCAAAAGCAAGACGCACCACAAACCGCCGGCAGCTGAGTGGAGTCTAGTATTACATAAGCAGAGTCAACATTGAGCAGCAGTGGGGGCTTATCTATTGGCCCAACTGCAGAGATCAAGCAGCAACTGCGTATGCAACCGCGGCAACAAAATGGCACAAGATCAGAGTCTGTGGATGTGCGGCTGAGACGTTGACTGGGCACAGCAGCAGTTGCAGCAGCAGCAAAACAGCTGGCAAAAGGTGGCGGCACTGTACCAAAGAGGACAGCAAGTGGGCCGCACTGGGCCAACCTAACTACACTTCAGCTCTCCAGTTCTTGAGCTGCAGGCGGGCACGCGCTTAGCACAAGTCCAAGCTAGCCGGCTCTGGCAGTCGGCGAGTCTGAAAGATTGAGTGAATGACCAGCTGGGCTGGCGAAACAGTAGCTCTTTGTTTTGTAGCTCCCGGTTGGGCTGCTCCATAGAGTATATTGCAATTGATTTGTTTGTGGCCTTTGGGCAAGTGACAGGCTCATTCCAATCAGCGATTTCGACCAGCGCACGCCTCCAATTAGAGTCTAAACGACAATTGTACTTTTAACCCAATTTACTCAGCGCATTGCTTTGTTTTCTACACTGCCTTAACAATAAATCTAAATTGTGTAAAGTTTTGAAAGTCGCCTCTGTTCTATCTATGCTCTGTCTCCTCTGCCCGACTGTCTGTCTGTCTGTCTGTCTGTATGTCTGTCTGCTCCTAAACTCAGCTCAATGTGAGCCTCGAGTGTGTTTCCGTCGCCCCAAGAAGCGCCCGCAGTTGTCTTTTGCATACCCTAACTTATTATTATTTCTGAATAGGCTAAGCATGATCAAGGCTGCAAATCCAAGAAATGTGTTCAGTAGTTCGGTTTACTTTTGAGCAAAGATCCAAATCCAAGAAATGTAGTTTGAGATTCCTCAAGGGAACTATTATATTATTTTATAGTACAGAATGTCATACATATTATCATATTTGGGCTAAGGTTCCTTCAAGATATTATGTACCTACTTTTATCATCAGCTCATACAGCTCGCTTCTTATATCATAAATAAAACTTCTGCTAATATAGTTTATTAGTTTTGAATTTGCACGATCGAAAGAGCATTCGTAGTTCGGCTCTCACATGCAATGTTGTTTGTTCTTGTTTATGTATTTGATTATTTGCTTAAATCTTTATCGCTGGAGCTGCTCACATCGCCTCCCTCGTTCGTATGCAGGCAACGTTCGTTTGCCGTCGTTTGCATCTACATACGAGAGCGAGAGAGACTCGATGCCACTCGACTCGGAGTCGGAGCCGCAGCCGCAGCCGCAGCCGGGACCGGAGCCAGAGCCAGAGCCAGTGGCGCGTTGTGTTCAGATCCATTAAGGCAATGACCTGTTTTCATATCATTTTTTTCTTCATATATGTATATAAATATATGTATGTATATATCTATATGTACAGATGTATGGTCACTTTGTTGTTGTTTTGTCTCGCTCCCTCGTATTTGGCACCGTGTGGCGTAGGCGTGTGCTGGAAGGCGGCTGCGGCGGCGACGTCGGCAGAGGGATAGGCACACGCAATCGGATCGGTCGGTCGGTGCGTCGGCCTGTCCTCAGCGTCGTCGCATGTGTCCATGTTGCAAGTTGATAGTAAAAATTATGATGATTCTTGCCCCAACAACTGCCTTCGACTGGTCAAACGAGTTTTTTTTTTCTTCATTTTTTTGTATTTTACTTATACTCTTTGGCCTGTGCATATTTATCTTTGCGTTGTCGTTGCCTCCACTTCATTAGGTCTTTAATTTTATATCGACTGGAAGCGCGTATCAAAACACAGAAAAGGCAGCCTGTTCTCTTTTTTTTTTCTTTACTTTTTTGTATATATATATTTTTTTTTGCAGTTGTACAAGTCGATACTCGGAACGTGAAAAAAGCCTTTGGCGCGTAAAATCTTTTGGGTTCATTAGAACGTTGAACGTTGTCGTCGTTTGATAAGCTAGCGTGTTCTGTGCCTGAGCCCAGACCGAGCCAGCGCTGTGCCAGCGCTGGATGTGCCTCTGCCTGTGCCTTGTGCCTGTGCCTGACCACGGGCATGGGCGCATGCGCAATCAAGTCGTTTCTCTGGCGCTGTCAGCTTGACAGAACATCTGCGGTTTAATCTGGTTTGGGATGCGCCGGCCGGATTGCGCTCTTCTATCTTGTTGCTTGGTACAGTACGAGCGTAGGTGACTGTCCAATAGGACTATTGCAGAGCTCTTTCAGTTCTTCTTGGCTAGTTAATCAGCATGACAATTGTAACAGCCACAATTGATCTAGAAAGCTGAGTTAATTATTGTCTAGGTGACTTGAAAATAATCTTAGTACTATTTATACCTTAAACACAGGGGATTGGGCGAAAAGGGTATATTGTTTTTGTGCATATGTATGTAACTGGCATAAAATGTATATATTCGTATCCAGAATCAAGAATCGAGTCGCTCTGACCCTTACCTTTTATATGTATATTACCTTGGGGGAATTTTGAATGTGAGCTTTTCGATATTTTATATTTCACGTATAGTATACACAGATCATACATATGTATATATATAAAATATTTAACTAGTATTATAAAAATATTTATCATATTAAAATATAAAACGGACTTGATTTGGTATCCAGATTATCTAAAAATATTATTTTAGTCGGTAACCAGCTTCCCATACTAGCCATAAGCAAAACTGTCGCGCCAGCGGTCTATTTATTTCATAAGTTTGCTTAAATAATAATTTATTTATTTAATTTCAGGGCATTTTCTGGTCATCAAGTTATCACCGGCCATGGCTTTATATTTGTACAGCTTGTTTTGGATATGCGCGCTGTGAACCCAAGGTAAGATTCTTTCTATTTACTTAGTTACACACAATCTACGAGTATATACACTTCTCGCCAGTTGAGTAGGACACCCTGTACTTTCTAAAAGTTCTATAACAATGCGTCGTATTATTTCAAATGTTAAGAAGATGCGCCAATAGCTGTAGTCCTGATTGTGGAGCTATTAAGCTGTAAATTGGAGTAATTTGACTGAGAATTCTTTATAATAATCCTTAAAGTGTAAAATGTCTTTTTCAGGTTGTATAAAATTTTGGTACATACTTTTTTAGATACTCAGGACTGTAACATTAAATCTTTCTTCCGATCAAATAACAAATATTAAATGAACTTTAACTTATGAAAACAATGAGGTTTCTAGCATGCTTCGTTAAAAGATAGTAGACGATAGAAAACAGAGTTCACGAGTGTCCTATTCATGTGGCGCGGAGTGTGTTTATGGCTGGGTATACATTACCTATTATTTATTCACATATCTGGCTGTATTTATTTATTACTTTTCTTTGCTTTGGCTGCCGTTGATTTTGTCGTCGTTTGTTTGGCTACTTAAATTTCCCAGAGTCAATATTGATCTGTTACTTAGCTGTGCTCATATCGCTGTGGGCAATATACCCAACCTTGACCATATAATTGTTGCTGTCAGGGTCACAGAATTCTAATTATTTATTAACACAATCGTAGACGCGACCAAGTGCAAATGCAACTGGTTGCATCGCGCTGGCATCCTTGAGAAACAAATTGAAATCTTTGTTGTGGGGAACTCGTGCATCGCAAACACAAAACATATAATGGGGCACACCCCCGGCGGGCAATATTTCCATCGATTGCCTCTGTAGAACTCTGGGCAAATGTTCGTTAATAAATGCTAAGGCCAAAGTTTAAACGCTGACCAATGCAAATATTGTCGATCATTTTAATCACCGTTCATTTTGCATAAATTGACCTGGCAATGAGCTTGGAGTGGTCGTATTGGCAAATGGAAGCCACGGTATTGGGGAGTACCTTTTGGATAATCATATTTCCATCGCATCATAGCCATAAACGTCAAATCTGCGGCCCCAAAAACACACGGAGCATGCGGGTCGCCAGCCCGCGCTCAGCACGACAAATGAATCACGCAGCGATCATGAGTGGAGCGGGAAGGGTGGTAGCAGCTGCTCGTGTGCCCCAGAAGCTGCGAGCCAACAGCGACATTGACAATGAGCCAAATGCGATCCCAAAAGCGATTCCAATACCGATTCCAAAAGCGATCCAAACGGTAGCCAAACCAAAGCACACTAAACAAAAACAACAACATAAACAGCAGCAGCAGCAGCAACAGCAGCAACAGCAGCAACAACAACAAAACACGAAACGTGCGCGTTTCCAAGAGCTTTTGGCTTTGGGTTTTGAAGCATGATCGGGCATGATCGTTAAGCAATGCACAGTAGCTGCTTGAGCGTCATAATAACAGCAACAACAAGATGTAGTAGTCGTAGTAGTCCCTCCTCCACTGGCCGGCCAACCCTCCAAGTCAGCCAAACCCCACCCTGCCGCCAGTGTAGGCCTTTTGTCTTTATGTGTATAATGTGTGTGCGTGTGTTTGTGTCTGTGGCACAGCTGCAACGCTGCAGGGTGTACACTGTACACAGAGAGTACAAGTCGAGCCGAGTCTGAGCATAGTGCAAACGGCGCAAGTCGCGCGCGCATGCGCAACAAATCAACACACAGCCAAGTCAAATCCCCAAGTATGCCCGCAGACCCCACCGTCGGTGTCTTGGAGCGTAAGAGCAACTGCCTAACCGGTTTTATTGTATTTGTTGTTGGTGTTCTTGTTGTTGTTGTTGTTGTTGTTGTTGTTCTAGAGCTATACGACAGCGACAACGATGCATAAAGCTTTTAAGAACCTTCTTTGTTGTTGCTTGAAGTTGCAGATGCACTGCGAGAAATACTCATGGACTTTCAGCTCGTCAATAATAATATAAAAAACATAAATAATATTCATATAATGTTAATAAATAACATGCATATTAATAATAAATATTAAAATTATATTAATTATAAATAATATATAATGCTGCTTTTTGCGACCTTTGCCATATGTGAAACATTTATTAATCTGGCTTCAAATATATATCGGAGAAAAACATGATATTTTTTTTTGTGATTTAGTAAATTAAACTCCCGACCAGCTAAAAAAAAACATAAAATATATATATATCGAAGCTGCAAATCTGCCTTTTGGATCAGTTCGTAGACCCAACCTTCCAGATTTTAGTTTAAAGATTTCTTCTCCAAATCAAAAGTTGTACGTTTTCTTACAAATAATTTCACGTTATATTTATAAATATTGCTAAAAAAAAAAAAATTATTAAATATGTCCATTGAGAATGGGAATATAATAAGATTAACCCTAGGTAATGCATTTTTTTTTTCTAAATTTTGGCTCTTGCAGTACCTATGCTTAAAATGTTTTGCCAAGGCCTGATCAGATCTGGTTGATTTATTAAATTTCTCTTTTCTTATATTTTTGCTCTCGATAGCCTTTATAATTACCAAGATTGATAGATGCTTTGGCTAGTTTTACCCCTTTGCTAAATCGTTTAATTTCATACAAACATACAGCGTGTACGTACATATATCAAATTATGGGCTGAACCTCGTGCCACCAATTTTGTTGCGTGTAATTGCCACTTCCAGCACAAAAGCTTTTATTTTATTTTTTTTTTCTGCTGCTGCGGCTGCTGCTGTTGGTGCTGCTTTTCGTTTTCCATGCGGTTCTTTCCTTCCTCTATGTTTAAAGCGACTGCGCTCCCGTCTTAAGCTGCATTACAACTTTTTACTGCGTCTTAAACTGAAATCGAGTTTTGTTTGTACTATGTAGTTTTCTATCTGTGCAACTCCGCCTGAAACATCAACGCCCAGCTAGCTCATGGGTCTCTCTTTATAAATACACATACGCACATGCTTGCATAGATATACTATATGCACGTGTGTGTGTGTGTGTGTGTGTGTGTGTCTCTGACAATCTGCTGGTTGATGGTTACAACGTTGCCATCGTCATCATCATCATCATCATCATCATCATCATCATCATCATCATCGGGCCGAAGTCGTCCAGTAGCTGCGCTTAATTGCATTTTGACTTGCGGCGTGAAGTTGCATTGTGTACCCTGTCCCAATCCTACCCCTGCTCTCCGGCCCTAGCCCTGCCCTTGCTACCCGCTCTGCCTCTGCCCGTTTGTAGAACTCTCTGCCATCGTCTTTGGTCTATTTGCTTAGCGTTACGAGGCGTCGCGTCGCCTCTTTTTGGCGTATGCCCAGTAGCTGCTTCGACCAGTGCTGAAAATTGTTTTTTTTTTCTTTCTTTCATTTTAGTTCTATAGTATTTGTATTTGCACTGCATGTTTGTTGTAGTTTTTATGACTTGCAACTGTGCGTTGTTGTTTGTGCTATGTTGATTGAATGCGCTTTGTTAGTTAGTCAGTCCATCAGTCTGTCCGTCTGTCGGTCGCATCGGTCCGTTGGTTAGTTGGTGAGGTCCGTTTGGGTTCTTTTGTTAGCTTCGGAGCAGCCATAAATGTACTTTGGCCATTGTTCATTTGACGTGATTAGTTACAGTCGCGTTATTAATAATTTTATTGCATTTGGCTATTGTTCAAAATTAGTTGATTACTCATACGCCATGTTAGTCGAACACACAAAGCAGAACAATTCAATAAGGTAATTCTATTTGCATATGTTACATACACTGAGCTAAAAATAATAGCCCATTTATGTATACCTACTGGATATGAACTTTTGCATCAAATTAAATTAGATATGTTCGAATCAATTTACTTGCCTTGTCTTCTAACGTTCTCTCGATAAGTCAATATACAGATAAGCCTTTTTTTAATTTCATGAGAATCGCATGGAAAGTTTATGTTAAATATAATGAAGTGCCTTTTTATTGCAACAGCAAATGCTTAACAATTTCAATTATTCTATCTAGTAGCTTACCAATTAATGTTTATTTATTATTGTATTCATATTTTTACTTAAATATTTTACTAGAACAATTTTGTTCATATTTGCTTAAAGGTGTTATTTTATTGTGTGCTATAACTTGGGCTTATATGATTGTGGGCTCTTTTCAGTTGACGCAATTACCTAGATGATTTTCATAGGCAAAGCCTTAACTGTGCTTTGATAGGCCCATAAATTGTGCAACATTATGGCACCGGCAATAATGCTGCCCCCGCCTCTAGCCGGTTTATGACCAAAACAGATTTCATTATAAATAGGTTAAGACGCTAAATTTACTAGGCATAAAAGATCGAGAAGCAAAGCAAGCAGCACACATAAACCTTTAAACCTAAACACGCACTTAAGCAATAAAAAAAAAAAAACCAACAGCAACTAAGACGAAAAACATGACATTAAATTGCATGAGGTTAAAAAAAAAAAATAATAATAATAATATTGTCTATAGCCGCTGAGGAGGGGAGCGCATAAGAACACAGGTGTTCAGCTGCTGCAGCAGCCATACATAAAAAACCAGCGGCGAAAAAAACAACAACAACAACAACAACAACAAACTTAAAATCAAGTTTTAAAGATTCAACAACGACGACGGCAACGGCACTTAAACAGCTCCAGCAGAAGACAGCAGCGGCCGGACGGTGGAGGAGACATGGCCGCGGTCGGAGCTGGAGACCTTTAAATGCGCACGACGACGACGACGATGCGGGCCGAGCTGCAGCAGCAGCAGCATCCAAACGAGTCGCCTCAAACACTTTATGCAGCCCCCGAGCGGACCCAGCTGAGGGGCCAAGCCAAACCCAAGACACGAGTCCCAAGCACCAAGCTCTCGACGTCGTCGTCGTCGTCGTCGTCGTCGTCGCCGTCGATCGTGCATGCAGCAACTTGTCGATTTCGAGTTCGGCCCTGTACCCTTGGCCTGAAGAGCCTGGCCCCTGTCTGATTATGATCAGAGCGAGCTATATGAGCTGTTGTGGCTGCTGCTGCCACCGCCGACG